TGATGTACGGTCGAAATATCACATGAAATAAATCATAAGATGGAGATAGAAAATTTAAGCTGCAATGATCACACATTCGAAACCTTTTAAAATGTGTCTGACTTGTACAGGATTGTTCGCTCTTTAAGAGACGATAGATAAACGTTTTGTTAAACTGTAACAAGGCTCGCGAAGTTTATTTTATTCGACAATTTCCGTTTTATTACGTCAATAGACATTATGGATTTGTTCAGGGCTTTTTTTTGTTATTGTTTTCTGTATAAACCTTTTATTGATTTTGTTGTTTATAGTCATCGTTCTGAAAACGGGAGAGATTTTTGATATACGGTGTAGATTTGTGATTAGAAAAATATCTTTGTCAAAGTTAATGAGACTTTTTCCAATTTTGGACTTTTGACGCTGATCATTAATATGAAATGTACGATATGTAGCGATGGTGACAGTTCTGCAAGGAAATGCTGTTACCATTACTGATAACATTATTGTCGTGCATGGTAGTAACGAAGAAGTAGAGATATCTGTTTATGTTACAGAAATGCGTGAGCAATTGATTAAAGCTTTCTCTAATCAGAGAGATAGATTGCACTCTTCTTCCCTCTGAATGAAAATGTCGTTTTGACGTAGACTTAGTTTTTTGAAGTGCTTTCCTTGAGTATGTTTTCTCCTTGTTCTCGCTTTTTTTGTCACGAAGTCCATATGAATGATGTTTGAATTATCTGAATGAATTTTTGTTTCCTTCGACGGCGTTGTGAGTCTATGATTGTATTTGCACAGATAGAGAAATTAAGAAACACTGTGTTCAGTTCCATCTGTGTATTGAAGTTTTATTTTTGTCTACTTATTGTTAGTTCTGAAATATGATTATGCCTTTTGAACTTCGATTACTATGCCGAACTGAAGCATGGAATTGGTGTCAAAAAAACGAATGAGGCACTTTCTATGTAGTTTTTTGCTCTTCGTACATTGTTTTGTATCAGAAGAACGTGTTGGTATGAAGCCGTTTGCCTGCTTTTCTTTCCATCAAAAAAGTTCAATCCCTCAAAGATCAAGACAGGACCACATAATTCTCCGGAAAAATGTCCACATACAAAGACTCAGAGTGTGAAGCGATAGCGATTCTGGAATTTCGAAAAACATGCTTTCCAGATAACCGTATAATCTTAATTTGATGTCGAATCGAAGGATGCTTTCATTAATAAATGATCATTACAATCAAGCTCGGCATTTGACGTGTATTGACCACTGCGAACCAACTGTAGGTAAAGTGAGCGACGGATTCGAGTATTTTGACCAAACATTCGTCGCCGACTTGTGTCAAAAAAGTTAGTGGCTGTTTCATGTGCAGAGTAAAAAATGCAATTGATTGAGCACATTTTCGAAGCTCTTTTCTCAACGGAAACAGCTAAAATCTTAAAAACATTCGCACTATAAGTTGTATCAACTCTAAAAACGACTGTCTCAGATAGAACTCGATGAGATCAATGGATTAGTACCAGTTTCACTTGTATCCGAGTAACAGTTCGACTGAGGAACTGAAAACTGCTCATTGGACCCCAAATGCCCAGGTGACCATATCAGACATTCGCACCACGAGTTGTGCCCGCTGTAAAAAACGCGTTTCTCAGTCAAGCTCCTACTTAGGTATAACTGCAACTGTCACTATCATTGTAAATCATACTTTTTTTATATGAATGCAGAAAAAATCGAGGTTTTGTCGTAGAACGCTTGGTCTTTGCCCGGGTCCTGCCCCGTCTCAGAGAAAGTTTTGATCTTTGTTCCGCCCTCAGTCCTGACGAGATCGGAGGTGGGACTGTCCCACCACATCTAATAATGACAAATAACGTTTGTATCTATAAGTAACGTCAGTTGTTGATTTAAGAGAGCACCCATTGGTCCACCAAGGGATCGCGGGACTGGGTCATATTTTACTTTTTCGATTTGACATGCGCATCTGAATCAACGATGTCTAAAACCTCTAAATCCAAATTTTTAGCGTATTTGGTTGAGCTGCTGAAAAGTCAGACCAATCCAAATTTAAAGTACTCATCGACTTTCATCAGAAAATTATCAAAACTTGTTTTCGAAACATTCAGCGCTCTAGCCCAACAATAGATCAACCAAATCTTTGAATGCAGTACAACAGGAGATAGAGCGGCGAAAACTGAACCAAATCAGCTATTTAGATAATATACTTCATGCATTGATTCAGTGTTATTCGCCAAACAATGTCCAAAACGAGTGATTTTTGATCTTTGAAAAGGGTCAATTTTCGCAGTATATCAGCTGCCGTACAGTCAAGTTAAACACACAAGTTAAGTTCACATACAGTGATCAACAAAATTGATCATACACCCCTCATATTAACTTATGATTGATATTTCTCCGAAATCAAATCACCTGTAAAGTTCGAAGTGTCGCTAAAATGTTGCAGATTTACTGTAGTTTATTTGCTTAAAACAGAAAGTGCTGATGTCATATAGTTATTGTGCTAGATCAGGAAGAGTGAGATGGACAACTTTCTCTGTTCAACAAAATTGATCATATAATTCGATTTTGTAATTTTTTACATGGTAGGCTTTAGTTTTAAATTGACAAGACGCGCGTGTTTTGTGCAGTTTTTTCTCGCTCTTTTGACTGATATGTACTATAGAATTTCAAACCAAAGAGCGGAGAGAAAGGAAACGAAGTACAAGACAGTCAATTTTTTCTATTTTTTCGATATTTTTTTGTAATACTTCATAAAATATCATCTTTTCATGAGAAAACGTTTTCAAGGTTAATAACCTTAAGTGCCGTACCTTAAGTGAGTATATCGAGGGACGGAAAAGATATCTATATATATATATATATATATATATACACGAATGGCATTGATTCATTGAATATTTATCAGAAAATTTTGCTTTTTGGTGTGCTCTATTAGCTGATTATACTGTCTTGTTCATGGTTTTGTTTCTTTTTACCCAAATAAATTTTTGTTATGGAAGAAGAAATACTACGTACCCAAGCAAAAACGACCCAATTTTTTGGGTTATTTATCTAGATTCAGGTCCACGTGCATCTAGATGTACGTGGAGCTGAATCTAGATAAATAACCCAAAAAATTGGGTCGTTTTTGCTTGGGTAATTTGCCAAAGAATTGGAATGTATTTATTATCAATGGAAATGCAGCGCCTGTGTCATCAACCATGCGAAAGCATATCCGAAAACTAAATCTCAATTTATCTAAAGCACGTCGTTCACGTTGTTCGAAATCAGTGTTAGTTTTGTAAATGGCTGTAAGTTTCTTATATATCAGGTGGATTTCACATACGAATATTAATAATGGAAGGTTATCTGAGTTATTTTTATATTTCGTATTGCTGATTAATAAAACGGAGCAACAAAGATACAGTAAAACCCCCCTAAGTGAACACCGTCGGGAGTTTTTTTTTATGCTGTGAGATGTTCACCCGTGAAACATGTCATATATGCTACTACAAAGTTTAAAATTTCGAACGACGAAATTTTTTGCTAGTTTTGAAATAATTAGAATTTTTATCTTTTCATTTTCTTTCGTTTGAATTTATTTAAATCGAACAACTTTTCAAAAAAACAAGAAACTTAGCTGTATTTCAAAGCTTCCTATTGTTTACACTAGCGGAAAAAAGTATTCGTACGATCAGTTTTTTGGATTTAACTCGGTTATTAAAAGACCTCTTTTAGCTTTCCAATATATGAAACGAAAGCCCCGGAGCTGCTCTATTTACACTGAAATTTTGGTTTGATTTTGACTTCTACTGTAAAAGTTATGGGTAGAACAAGTAGGACGTATCAGCTTTTGGGAGAAAAAAATATTCGTACGTTTTTAAAATTGATTTTTCTCTACTGGTAAAGATGATAGAAAAATAGAATCATATATGATTTTGAAGAGCAGCGCAAGGGCTACATTTTGGTAAAAAATAATTTTGAAGAGCTTTTTCCTTAGGTTGAAAACGCGACTTTAAGCCAAAAGTGCGATACTCGTCAGTGTGATTGCTCCATCTCAGGTATGAGTGACTGAAAAGAAAATTCTGATTAAGCCATTCGAAAGAGCGTCCAAAACTGAGTAAGATAAATATAGTGTCTAAGTTAAGTGAAAGAGCGTGACCCATCTTTTAATCTTTTGGATCTTGAGACTATTTTTGAAATATCTTTCCTGCACGGGAGGGCAAACATTTTTTGGATATCTTTGTGTCATTATATAGTCAAGTAGTTACTGTATAGGAGTATGAAAAGAGAAACCTAGACTTTTTAAGTTCAGAGAACTCTAAAAAAATCTCTGGAACTTTTCTTAATAAGTTATGTTTGTAGTTCGCGAAATTCTGATCAAAATGGCACATCCCACAGCTCTACACGAGGCTACAATAGCAACCGAGACTGTAAAAACAGTGCTCAAGTTCAGAGTACTCTGAGACTTTGTTCAAAATGAGAGATGTTCACCTATTTTACCAGAATGTAGCCTTGCGCTGCTCTTCAAAATCATATATGATTCTATTTTTCTATCATCTTTACCAGTAGAGAAAAATCAATTTTAAAAACGTACGAATATTTTTTTCTCCCAAAAGCTGATACGTCCTACTTGTTCTACCCATAACTTTTACAGTAGAAGTCAAAATCAAACCAAAATTTCAGTGTAAATAGAGCAGCTCCGGGGCTTTCGTTTCATATGTTGGAAAGCTATGTTATGTCAGCAATACTGACATAGTCATACATTCTTCTTCTTTTTCTCTTTTCAAGTTCTAGTGAAAGAATGTTGACTCACAACACTCTTTCATCATCTATTATTGTCTCATGATCACAAAGAATGTTGACTCAGTTCTGGTTCAGTCAACATTCTTTCCTCATTTATATATAGTGTTTGTTTGTGCACACGAGAAGGAGTTTTTCTGTTTTAATGTGTTTGTGATTTTATTCTTCGAATAAAATTCAGTGACAGGCTAGCAATAGCCGGCGTGGTTCCATTTATTGTGGCATTACAAATGGATCGCGTTAATACATTATTGTTGGAGAAAATTTTGAAAAACTTATCAAAATTTAGTGGTACTACACAACAACGTGTCAATGATTGGCTATTGACAATTAATCAAGTATTTGATGCATGTGAATTACCCGAACAGCAACGTCGTAAATGGGCCATTGGATTCCTTTCTGATGAAGCGTTAAAGTGGTACAACAGACAACTAATCAAATTTGAGACATAGAGTGATTTTCAGAATGCATTAAAAGATAATTTTCCATCACCACCAGACCCATCAAGTTCCATCATTCATCAACAAATTCTGTGCCGGAAACAAGGTGATACCGAGATATTCACTGCTTATTATGGTGATATGATCCGGTTATGTGGCCGATACAATCCTTTAATGACAAATGAAGAATGTTTAGACTGGCTCAAGTTGGGCATGAACACTACTTTATTGAATCAATGTTCAGGCAACATATTTACCTCACCACAACAATTGCTTCAATTTATTCAACGTTTAGAGCAAGATCAACAATTTATTCAACACGTATCATCGTCGCGTGAAACCGATTGTAATCTTACATATCAACTATCTCACTTGGCACAATCTACTTCACTTAACACTGTTTCTACACCACAACTAGGTGCTCGCCATTTCTCTCGATTAACACGCTGTTATTATTGTAATAATCACGGCCACTTTAGTCGATGTTGTCCGGAACGACCTAAAAGAACTACGCGTAAATCTAACCCGATCGTCGGCACCTTTTGACAAACATATTGATAGTCTTGCCTTAGATGTCAAATTAATTAACTCAATTACCGTTCCACCACGCGAAGTGTCTATTATACAAGCAAAAGTCGATATATCCTCAGCAAAAGCTGCATACTTCTGTCCGGATGCAGACTTTTTACAATGTAAATCTATTTCAATTGTTCCAGCAATGTTAAAAGTCGCAAATTATTCAACGTTCATCAAAATCTATAACAAAAGCGACCGTCCGCGAACGTTATAACGCTATTATCGGACAAATTACACATACGCCTGGCGACATTAAAAGCTTTGTAGTGACACCCCCTTTAGCTGCTCGAACACAAGTCGTTTCGCCTCTCAACTCAATACACACGTCATATTTATCTCCACCCACACCAGAAACTATCCAAAAATTCGTAGCTCATATACACGATCCAACACAACAAACAGATCTTACCAATATCTTATCATCCCATGCTAAACTTTTCGATCTCTCGAAAATTACACAAGCGAAAACTTCTATCCGCCACACAATTAATACTGCAGATGCTCTTCCGATTAGTTCCCGTCCATATCCAAAAACCGTCGAACAGCGACGACAACTACAGAAGATCATACACGAAATGATGACAAACAATCAGATTCGTCCCTCAAATTCACCATGGCCATCACCCGTGATCCTACATAAGAAAAAGGATGGTGGTACTAGATTCTTAGTCGACTATCGTAAATTGAACTCTGTTACAAAAAAGGACTCATTCCCACAACCGACAACGGAGGAATTGTTACAACGATTAGGCGACAATCGATACTTTACAAAATTCGACTTAAAATCTGGCTATTTTCAAATTCCTATCCTTGAACAAGATAAAGAAAAATACACAAGATGGTCTATGGGAATTCAATGTATTACCACAAGGTGTTATGAATGGTCCACCTACTTTTCAACGAGTGATGCATAATTTGATAGGTACTAGACGATGAGATTACGTGAAGGTTTACCTGGATGACATTTTGATATTTTCTAAAACTCTCGACGAACACAAATGCCATTTGAAGGAAATTTTAACAATTCTATCCCAAGCCAATTTTCAACTGAATCCTGAGAAATGTACTATTGCGGTTGAAGAGATCGACTATTTAAGCCATATTGTTAATAAAGATCGAATTCTACCATCGCCGGAAAAAATTAGAGCCATTGTTGAATTATCACCTCCTCATACATTGAACGAAGCAAATGAATTCATTGGAAAATTAAATTGGTACAGAAAATTTATTCCACATTTTGCCGAAATTGCTGCA